CCAAAAAAAAAAAAAAAAGAAAAAGAAATTATCATCATCAAACCACCACATGAAACACAAACTCTAGAAAAGACAGCACACTTGCAATCTGGAGCCACCCTCTCCACAGTGACGGGGAGATCTGTGAACTCCAGCAACTGGAGCAGGGCATCGGGGTGAAAAAGAGGAACCACGGTACTCTGAGGTACAGAGGGCATGGGAGGTGGCACCGATGGCCACAGCCTGGCCACAGCCCGCACTGCCCATTGTCCCGGGCCAACAAGAAGTCAGCGTTTCAGGCTAACTTTCAGTGGTTACAAACAGCATATGATAAACAAACATCATTACAGAAATAAGCCTGGCTGACTTCAGTAAAAAATAAACCCAGAGAGGAAAAAAGGTCCAGTTTCCTGACCTTAAAGTAATAAATTGAAACTGCTGGAAGATGATGGGTTAGAGGAAGCAGGAGGAGTACAAGGTATCTCAAAGGCAGAAGCAGAGAACAGGAGCAGGAAACCCAGGCAGGACAGCAGCTATAGGGCCCAAAGGGCTTGGAAAAGTGAAGACCCTCACACAGCCACACCAAACACAGGGAAAGGTCATGAGCTCTCACCAGTAAACCCCTTGGAGAGCACAAAGAGTAATCCTTCAGCATCCTGGAGCCCAAGCTACCCACAGACCAGAATTCCTGGTCCCCAAGGCCCCGACCTGCCACCCCACATCCAGGGCAGAGGGCTGCACACAGCAGAGCGACCAGCAAGGCAGCCGCAGCCTCACACTGCGCTCTTTCACAGTTTCCTGAGCTCTTCTTTTTATTTTTTATTTTTGGGTCAGTCGTGGGACTTGAGCTCTGGGCATGGGTACGGTCCCTCAGCTCTTGAGCTCAAGGTGAGCGCTCTACCACTTGAGTCACAGCACCACTTCCGGCTTTCTAGTGGTTTATTGGAGATAAGAGTCTCATGGACTTTCCTTGCCCAGGCTGGCTTTGAACCGTGATCCTCAGATCTCAGCTCCTGAGTAGCTAGGATGACAGGCGTGAGCCATCAGTGCCTGGCTTCCTGCACTCTTCTGATGTT